TTTCTTCAATCCTGTTCCTCTTTCCCAGTTCCTCATTTGTTCTTCAGATTGTAAATTACAGAAATAAGAGCATAGCCCTGTAATCCTATTTACTTGGGAGGCTGAAGCAGGGTCATCATAGGTTCAAAGCCAGCCTGGGCAATTCAGTGACATCCTGTCTCAAAATAAAAAGTGAAGAGAGGGCTTAGGGATGCGGCTCAGTGGTCAAGAGCCTACCTGGCATGTGTGAGGTTCTAGGTTTGATTCCCAGCACTCCCCCCGCCCCTCCAAAAAAAAACCTTAGTGACTCTCAGGCTGGATCAATGGAAATGATCTGCTATTAAAATCAATTAATATATTTTGACTTCAGAGACTGCACATTTTCAGGTCTAAAATTTCTTTGTGGTTCTATTTCTCCCCCAGAATTATCTGTGTATGTTTTTGCTGTACCCATATTTTCCTTTAACTCCATAGACATAATTATAATAGTTGTTTTATATTTCCTGTCTACTAATTCCAAAAGCTAGATAATCTTGTCTACTATTGACTGCCTCTTTGATTAGGGGTATTTTTCTTTGTTTCTTTGCATGTGTAGTAATGGTTCCACAATGTTGAGTGTTAGGAGGGATGTGCTGTAGGGAGTCTGGATTACAGGATGTTGAGTTCTATGTTTGAGATTGGTCCTGTCAGAATGGTTCTGTCATCTCTGTGTATCTCAGCTGTAGGGTAGGTATGTCCATCCTGAACTCAGTCCAAGGGCATGGCTGAGAAGCCAGACTGAAATCTTTATCTTAACGCATGGCCTTCCTGGCATGGTGATTGAATGGCCAAGGTCCTCAGGAAGAACCTTTTTCTCTGCCTGGGCAGAGCCCTGGCATCTTCTAGCTGTGGTGACCTCAGACTCTCCCCTGGCATTCAGCCTCATGGAGTCTCACCCTCCCCCCGCACAGTGAAAATCTTGGCAGAGTGCCTTTGGTAAATCCCTGCAGAAAATCCTGGGGTCCGTCCTCTGCTGCCATTTGGTGTGACCGTCTCTACTTCCTTGGGTCAGGGAAACTGAAGTCATGCTTGAACAAAAAGGGCCCCAGGCAGAAAGCCAGGCCAGTCCTGGGTCACCTCCAGAGTTTCCTTCCCTCAGGGCTCACAATCCTGTACTGCCTGTGGTCAGAGCCTGAAGACAGCTGCTTCCTGTGTTATGTCCAAGTTTATGGCTTTACAGTAGAGGGCAAGACCAGTAGACTAGCACAGTTACACTTTCCTGATTGTGGCCAGAAGTCTGGCAGTTTTGCTTGTGAACTTTCTTCCTCACTGATATTATTGAAGGCACTCCACTGTATTTTTTTTTTTCATGAACCCATCTGTAGTATGACTAATTATCATTATTATTATTATTATTATTATTATTTTGCCTGTAGTCCCAGCTGACCTGAACTCACTGTGTAGACCAGGCTGGCCTTGAACTCACAATGATCCTCCTGCCTCTGCCTCCAGAGTGCTAGGACTAAAGGCGTGAGCCACCACATCTGATGACTAATTATTTAAACAAACAAACAAACAAACAAACACATCCTTCGGGGTTTATACTGAGTTCAATATTGTATAACTGTATAATTGTATAACTGTATTAATTCAACTGTGAACCTAAAAATTTACAGCCATTTTTGAAAGAGATGTATCTTTGCTCTTGAAATTGTTATTGAATATGTTAAAGCTGTAATGAGAAAAAAAATCAAACGTTAAAAAAATTTTATTGAAAAAAAACCCCACATCCTTCATTTCAAACATTGACTGGACAGTTTTTACTAACTCCTGAGTGTCTGAACTTCACAGCACAGGATTTTGGCCCCTATATCGCCAATTGCTTGATAAAAAATAGGTCTGAACACCTACAGGGTCTTTGTCCTCCACACAAATTGTCACAGGTTCCTTGTTACCTGTTAGTGTTCACTGTCAACAGCAATGGTAGTCTTTGAATGGTAAGTCAAGTTGGTGCCGTTGTTCTGAGGTGTTTTTAGTGATCAATTTAGGATTAGTTTGCTGTGTCATTTTGCCCCATTTCATTTATTCATTCATTCATTCTGTATTATTTTTGAGACAAGATCTCACTTTGTAGCCCAGGCTGGCTTCTAAATCAACATCCCCCTGCCTGTGCCTTTTGAGTACTGCTGGGATCACAGGTGCGTGTCACCTTACCTCATTGTTGCCTTATTTTAACTATTAAAATTAGGTATCAGATAGTCACTCTTTGAAAATGTGCTGTGTATTTTCTTCATGAAAGACTGACACGTTTGGCTATAACATGGTTTCAAAAATACTTTCAGATAGCATGCAGTGTTTAAGGGTCACTGAGTTGTTGCTCTTTTGTAGCACCTGCATACTCTCTTGATAATACAGTGTGTGTTGTTTTTTGTTTTCTTTTTACTTATTTTTTCCTTTCCTAAGGCATGATCTCTCTCTATTGCACTTGCTGGCTTGGAACTTCTTCTTTAGCCCAGGCTGGTCTTAAACTTTTGGTGATCCCCCTGCTTCCATCTTCCACATGCTGGGATTAGACAGGTGCCATCCTGCCCATCTGTCTGTTATGTGATCGATAACTTGAGTTTGCATGGAGTTACTTAGTTACTTGTGTCCAAAGTGAGGTGGGGTTTTTTTTTTTTTTTGCCTGTTTGCCTGTTTCTGGCCTTTTCCATTTATCCAACCTTGGGACAGTCTTGTTATATCTTGCCCGGACTTCTATACCAGTGTCTCCATTTTCACTCTTCTAGGAATGTGGTGGTTAGTTGCTTCTACAGCTTAATCTCTCTAAAGTTGTTTTTCTCTAAGTTAAAAAAAAAAAAAAAAAAAACCAAAAACCAGTGCCAGATGAGCATAAGCTACCTTATTCTTACTGATGGCCCAATGTTCCCAAGGGGGACGCCTGGTGCTGGTGTCCGTGGTGGGCTGAGCTGTGTCACTGTTTTACACACTGAAGTCCTAACCCCAGGACTCCAGAATGTGGCTACAGTTTGGAT